CTTTTGCAAAGGTTTTCAAAACCAATTTCTCTCTTTCTTACTAATCACCCTAAATTTCTATTTCTTATTGATACAATGCAAACGAAATTTGGAATATTACTCTAGAATCAAGTTGTGGGTAACTTTTGAATCTTGTTTTTTTTCTTTCTAAAATCGTTATTGTACGTGACTTGTATATAATATATCAATACCCAAAACAATATTTGATACAATACGATTATATTAAATTTTTAGTGTAGAGTTGTGATTGAAACTTGAAGAAGATGAAGATCATAATTCTATCACAATTTTTCAAAAATGTATCGCGATTGTATTATTATAATTGTATATGTATCATAATTGTTGCAGGAATTATATTACAAGTGTATGATAATTGTATATTCATTGTATATTGTTACGATCAGTTATGAGTTCGTGACGAATTTCACAGTTTGTATCACAAGTATGATAGTTGTATATTAATTTATTAGTATTGTATCAAGTATTATTTTGGGTATTAATGTACCAGATACAAGTTAGATACAATTATGTTGTAGGCATTGATGTATCACATACAATTCAAATACAATTATCAAACAGTTACAATTATCATACAATTTCTAAATATTTTTTAATAATATAAAGTTGTCGGCAATGGTAGGAAGAGAGAGGATAGCGATTTTGGGTGTAGATTAAGGAATTTTGATGTTAAATAAATAAAAAAAAAAAGAAGAGGAAAGGGGAAAAAAGGATTTTTTCCTTCCTATACAATATTTGAAATTTACTTACCAAAATCGTCTTAGTTTTGTATATTACCCACCCTAAACAAGGATTACATATAAATTATATACAATCTATTATTAGTGCCTTAAATTAGGGGATTTAATTATATCATTTTCCTTTTTTCTCTCCTCTTCTCTTTCCTCACTGCCGCCTCTCTCATAAATTTTTCTTTCTTTCTTCATCACTCTCTCTCTCACCGTCTCACTCTCTCAATAAGGTAAGCCTAAAAGTTATCTTCTGTCAATCAACCTATTGAAGTAACCTCCAGTTTGTCACTGGTTTGCCCTTTTCTTTTTTACATTGCTACCCTCTAAGTATGAAACTTTAAAAGTGCAAGAATGTTATTGAATTTAAACTTGTGACACTTCGGTTTGTATTGTGCTCTCTTGAAAATCGGATTACCCTGCAATTTGATAGTCTTTTTCAAGAGATGAATTCAACACCTAGTAAGAAGGTCGTAGGAATTGAACATCTATCATAAATATTTGAATTCGAATGGGTTTTCAAAAAATATTATTTGTTTGGATTGGGTGTTGTTGCAAACAATTGAAAATATTGTTTAGAGTTTATATCTCAATTTTGAGGGTGTTTGGTGAAGATTAGACTTGATTTTGGNAATCATCGTATAAAATTTTTATTTTAGTTATCAATACTATCATTTTACATAAAGTTGTTGATATGTGTCAAAATTTGTCCAAAGATTTTATGAGGTTAATAACTATCGTGCGGGGCGAGTAAAGTATTCTGCTTCACTTGATTGGTTACTTACCAAATACACTAATCTATCACAAATTAAAGAAACCTATTTAAATCAACACTAAAATGGATACATCGTACTTAAAATTAATATTATACAATTTGATGATACAACAACATACAAATTTAAAAACAAATTTCATACATATTTAATACAAATTGATTTCTACAACAACATACATTCCAAATAATAAATTTTATACAACTAATTATATAGTATACACTTATTTACAACTTATCTACAACTTTCATACATTATTTTTACCCAATTAAAATACATCTACAACATCATATAACTTAAATACAATTTTCATATAAATTTTATACAATATGTCTTTTGTATATTTTATATATTTTGTATGTGGTGTGTGCTTCTTCCTCTCTAAAATTTCAATCAAAACTCTCTCTTAATACAATTTTGATACATATCAACAACTTTATATAAAAGATAGTATTAATAACTTAAATACAAATTTTATACAACGATTCATACATTATACAACTATTTTTAAACTTTCATACAACAACAACAATAACAATAACCCAGTATAATCCCACTAGTGGGGTCTGGGGAGGGTAGTTTGTACATAGACCTTACCCCTACCATATGGTAGAGAGATTGTTTCCGATAGACCCTCGGCTCCCTCCCTCCAAGAACTCTCCACCTTGCTCTTGTGGTGACTCGAACTCACAATCTATTGGTTGAAAGTGGAGGGTACTCAACTTTCATACAACATTCAAATAAAAAAAATATAGTATATAATTACAATAGAATACAATTTATATACAATTATAATACAACTTTACTACAATTTCGTAAGTATATTGTATGTCATGTGTTATTCTTCTTTTTTCTTTTTCGAGTTTCAAATTAAAATTCAGCCAAAATCCAGTCTAATCTTCACCAAACGCCCTCAAAATTGAGATATAAACTCCAAACAATATTCCCAATTGTTTGCAATAACACCCAATCCAAACAAATAATGGTTTTTGAAAACTCAAATTCGAATTCAAAGCTTCAAAGCTTTTTAATGGTTGTCAATGGTGGAGAGTCAAACACCTTCAAAATTTATTGATTGATAATTTCAATTTGAACACCAATTGTGCAACGTGAAAGGAAATTTCTAAGTTAAAACTCTATAATAAAATGATTAAAATCTATTGGTGAATTCAAGTAAAAATATATACAACATCAGAGGAAGAAAATTTGAGGAAAGAACAGAGAACGAGAGACAGAGAGAGACGGAGAGAGAGAGAGAGCGCAGGAGGGAGAGTAAACAAAGATAAGAAATAACTAATTCCTTATTCAATTCCTAATATAAAGGGATACTCATTTAAAACTAATTTGTAACGCA